TGTATGAATATTTTTGCCAAATTGCAGCACTACCACACTGCAACAAAAACAGCAGCAGAGTAAATCAAAACTAAAACTCGAAACGTTACCTGAATTTGAATGAGGAAAGCGAATCGTTGCGATGCTGTTCCAGTGATGACATTTCGCACCGTCTGATGATTGCAGGCCATAGGGATTCTGCTTGCGGATAACTGTTTGGATAGAAACTTTGCAGGAATTTCACCAGGCGCAAGTAAATATGCGGTAAAGGCCCCCAGCCATGTCCGCAAAATATCAGGCACACAGTAGCCAACACCAGGCCCAACAACCAGCCAACATAAATCGACAATAGCGCAATTAGCATGCCTTTTTCCTGTATCTAATTGTGAGTGATGGTCGAAAAGTTCACTAAAATAAGAACGAAATTCAAGCATTTTCAGCGATTCTGCCCATCGAAGTGTTGTTACAGGCGTAGTGGCCATCTTTAAATCTGGCTAATGGATACCCTATCCACAGTCCGACATCTCGAGAAACATGTTTAAGAATAACTCCCGTGCACTTTTTTCGAGGTTTTGGCTGCAATGAAAAAATCAAGGAGGGTCACTAGCAGGTCAGTCGTAAGACCACGCATCTACCAGTTCTATCTGGAAAAAATAAAGCAAATTTGAGATACGAACGCCAGGATTACCAAAACAGCGGCAGACATCTTTTATCACAGCAATAGCCGAAAAGTTAATAAATGCACTGAGATGCCTTAACAAACACCACAATGAAACAAAACTGATAAGGCGCACCAAAGTGTGTGAAGTACCAACCAAAACATATCTAGAAAAGAGTGGGAGAAAGGGGAGGGGAAAACAAGAGCATCAGAATCGTTTACATTATTAAAAAATATAAAAAAGTAATAAAACGAAAGAAAAGCAAAATTTTAGATTGTTCTAAAATTTACCGCTCCAAGCCAAACACGTACTAGCAAAAATAACCGAAAAGCTGCTCACGCTCGTTTTTTTCACATGAAATTTTTACCAAGCGGTTCTGTCCGAAGGATTGCTGAGCTGGCTTTCTCTTCAAAGGGGCGAAACGAAAGTCAGGAAGCTGACCGCCAGAAGATGCTACTAAAAAAACTACCAGTCGCATAGTTAAGGAGCAACACTACAAACTATAGCTCACTAGAGTATCAAAGTGGGTATTTTTGGTGAAAACGATCGGTCATTAAAAATTATCGGATAAAAAGTGTTAAATTGTGTGGAAATAAGAAAAACCGGATCCAAACAACTCAAGCACGAAAAAGACGAAGCAGAAACGCGTCAAGCACCGTGCTGCTAACCAGTTTCCCGCATTATTACACATTCAGAAACGTTATTCGGACTTTTAAGGTTGCCAAGACTACGCGGGAAAGAGAAGTGGAAATTTGATATTACTGAGATGCATTCACGCACAATCGACATAATATCTCCAGGAATCTAATAGGCATGCATCCAGCAACTAGGAATCCCCTAGAATCTCAGGAGTTTAGTATAAATGAGATATGCCCAGGAATTCAGGGGAAAGGATTTCTTCCGTAGAAGTGAGCGAATTCCGGTTGTGAAGAATTAGAACGAAGGAGTTGGTGGGATGGAAATTGGTCAAAGGATGGATCTTCGATATTTTCTGTTTGATCTGGAAGACCTCACCGGGGGTTAGATGGCTGCAGTTTAGTGGTGAGGGGGTTTTTTTTTGAGGCGAGTAAGAGGAGAGTGTCTAAAAATGAATCGAAATTTGTCTTAGCCGACTAAAGATTACTACCCGAGCGTAGCAATTTGTCATGTCCGGTGGAATCGAAATTGAAAAATTCCTCTCATATAGTATTCTTCTAGTATTCTTCCCCTTCCACAATTACATCAACTTTCGACTATTGAGTTGTATAAAGCAGGTAGGTAAATGCGCGGCTACGTAAATCCTTTCTACCTGGCGTTTTGGGTCTCCAATTTGTATCCGGACTTTCTATGGCGCAGAAGTTTTTTTTTTTT